GCGCGCCCCGGGGTCGGGGGCCCTTCGGCCCGACAGCCTCTCGCCCCTCCCCCGGCTAGGTCGCGCTCCCCTCCCCCTCCTCCGGGCCGCTCTCCGGGCTTGGTCCGAGAATTCTGCCCTGGGGTCATCAATGCAAATAATCAAAGACACTGAGACAGCCTCCGCCGTTCCAATTTGAGGTCCTGGGCAAAAAGCAGGCCAGATTAGTAGACCATTAAACGTGGCAGTTGGCCCATTTGATGGGGACTTATTCAAGCATTTGGGTGAATATTATGTTAAGAGCCTACTGGGGGCATCTAGACCCAGGCATTCTCAAAACACCAATCCCAGTTTTATTAGTAACGCTATTTGTCTCTCTGTTTTCAAAAATAAGAATGATTTAATTGTATTTATTATTATTATTTTAACATTTGACCAGAGGGGGAGGGAAAGTGAGGAAGCAAGTCAGCAGATCTGGGATTCGAACTACCATGGGCCAGGTGAGAGTCCAGCGCCCCAACCACCACATCTCCTGCCACTCTTAATCTTTATCTCTTATGAATAGATCTGGCTCCAACCAGAACATGCAGCCGGAGGTCCTCTTTCTAATAATAATAATAACAATGATCATTGTAATGATAACAGTTCCACCGTAAGTCTTCCCCTTGATCTGGGAGAACCGCTACCATAGAGTAAAGAGGAAAAGAAGGAGAAAGACCACCCCCCTCCAAAGCCGCTGCAGTAGCTCTCTCTGGGATGAGTGTGGAGAGAGGACTGGCTGTGGATCCTGAATTGTTGATAATGAAGTCTAGAAAGGCAGTTCCCAGGGCAACTAGCCTCTAATTTCATGAGGGTTGTAATTGGGAGGGGTTGCCTTCTCACCATCCTTTGAGGCCAGACCATGTCCACTACCCCACCCTTTTTTTAAAAGTGTGTTTGTTTGTTTATTTATTTAAAATTTACCCACTCCGCTTGGCACAGTCCCTAAACAAAGGACTCCCCATCGGAGGTCTCTTCCCCCAATCCTACATAGTGCTGTTTATTGTAGTTTTGCAAATATGCGATCCCTTGTCATGCATCCCTTAGAGTTCTATTTTTTTGAGGAGAGCGTGTATGTTTGTTTGCCTGTTAGTTTCCTCTCTGTGTCATCTGTCATCCCCAAAGTGCCACCCCATTTTCTGGTGGTGTTTCTCCCTCCAAGCTCGCTGGGCTCCTACCACCAGGCGGAGGGAAGTGCCTTATGTAGGGAGTTAATTTATTAAGCAAACGTTATTAAGAATTCTGATTTACTGCTGTGTGTGTGCCTTGGGTAGATTCCTGGAATATTACCCTGGCTTTTTGAGTTGGAAATTGTCATTTTTGAAATGTTTCTTTTTAATAAAATCACGGGCCCCTTCTCCAAATAGAAGAAATAATAATAATAATTTTTAAAAAAAAGACTATTTTTTTTTTTTTGGAGGTCCTAGGTAATGAGGCGAACTCGGGGGGTTGGCGTTTTATCTGGAAACAAAAGGAGTTTTGATTTTTCTTACAATCTCGGTTTCTTTATTATTTTTAGATTATTCTAAATTCCATGCACAAATACCAGCCCAGATTACATATCGTGAAAGCGGATGAAAATAATGGATTTGGCTCAAAAAATACAGCGTTCTGCACCCACGTCTTTCCTGAGACGGCGTTTATCGCGGTAACTTCCTACCAAAACCACAAGGTAAAGCTCGACACCCCGGAACCAGCGCCTTGGCCAACTGCTCATTTGCATGAATCTGCAGGGGGTGCCCAGGGAGCCCAGAGCCTGAAGCAGGCTCTGTTTCTTAGCACAGCAGGCACCAACTGCTACCCCAGGAGTCTTGGGGGGTGGGCGGAGTAGCCGCCTGCATATTGCAGCTGTTTGGATTGTATTTACCGACCTAGCAGGGATTACCAAACCCGTAGCACGTGTACACACACACACACACACACACACACACACACACACACACACGAGAAACCAACTCATCAAACCCTGGCTGACCACACACTTAAGAAAGCAGCCTCCTAAATATGAAATACTTGAGGGGAAAGAAAGAGCCTTTTATTACATGGCTTTGTGCGTTTGGGGAGGGGGCAGATGCCACCCTCCATGGGGGTCACCTCTCTGTTGGGGTCAGCCTTCTCTTTTCCACTCTGCCTCTTAGATGTCTCTTTCCAAACTGTCTCATGGTAATTTCCAATACACACGCAATAATCGTACGTTCAATGCGTCTTCATTGACAGCGGGGCCAACTGGGATTGGATTTGGGATTGGATTTTGCCAAAGCTTCCCTAATTGGTTTTTTTTTTTGGAAATAGTGGACCCCATACTGTGTGCTAAAGCAAAGTTTGCCTTGTTCAAAAAAAAAAAGAAAGGAAAAAAAAAAAAGAAAGAGAAAAAAGCGACCTGTGCCTAGAATGCTGCTGCCAGGACCTGGACAAGGGGTCACAGCTCAGCCAGGGAGGCGTGCCGCTCAGCAAAGGCTGGGTGACATGGGAGGCGGGGGGGGTGGGGAGGTGGTGGCTGCAACTGGTGTAGAAGTAGTAGATGCCTGATGGATGGGTGAACGTCAGACCCCATGCAGATCAAAATGCCTGATTTTGGCGGTTCAAATCCTAACCTTGTCATCGGAGCCACTGAGGGTTGGGAGGAAGATCTGCTCCCCCCCACCCCCAGCCCCCGGAGAAAGGGCTGATCTTGACCTACTGTGAATCACCTCTGGTCTTTAGATACCTGAGTGCAGTGGATTCATTTTATTGTGTGTCGGAGGAGGACAGCAGGAGGGATTTAATGTGTCCTAACTTTGTTAGTAAAAGGTCTGGAATCAGGGGGCCAGCAGGTGGCATGGTGGTTAAAGATGCTGGATTCCCACATGGCTGACTGTGGTTCGAGTCCTAGACCTGGTGTCTTGGTTTCTGACTTTTCCCTTTCTTTCTCTCCGTCTCTCTCTGGTCAAATAAAAAAATAATAATAACAAATGGAATTAAATAAATAAATAAATAAATGTTTAAAAAAGAAGGAAAAAGAAAAAGGTCTGGAATCTGGAAAGAGAAGAAATTAGGATGGGGGGGGGGTGGCAGCTGCCATAGTGAGCGTATAGACCGGTGGGCATATTAAGCAGCGATTTGGGGTGAAATGACTGAGAGAGCAAAGTTGGGGGTCTATATGGAACCAGCGAGGGCAAGTCATATGAGCAATTTACCGAGATGAATATGGGAACTCTGGGTGACACCCCTTCTCCTCCATCACTCCTGTCCCATGACCAAAGGAGGGGTGGGGTGAGGCTGCATGGTGATGGAATCCCCCAGGAGAGGCCAGAGGAGGGCGAGAGGCGGGCTTAGCACCCCAAGCTTCCAGTCATCTTGTGCAGGCTGGCTAGCAGATAACGTCTCCATTGAGGCCAGGGTGGTTAGAGAATGCTGTGGATGATCTCCAAAATTCGGGCTGTCAGTGACCAGGCCAAGCTGTGACAGATGGTCTCTGCCAGGTCTGTCTGGAAACCCAGGTCTCGAGGGAGCGTCCTTCCCTCCAGGTGCAAACTCACTTCTCCCAAAACACAATGACTTTTTAAAGGGCCAGGAGGATCTTCTCAATTTCTTTTCCTTGTTTGGAGGAGGAAGAGCAAAACTAGGCCGCCAGGGACCAGCAGATGGCATAATGGTGATGTTGCTGGACTCTCATGTCGTTGACCATGGTTTAAGTCCCAGACCTGGTGGTTTAAAACTCTCACTGGGCACATGTGCGTTCATGCCTAAAATCCCAAGAAGAAAATGGAGGAGAAGGGACTGTGGTGTGGTCCCTGGGGGTGACCTCTTTCTTTCTGTCTCTCTCTCTCTCTCTGTGTCTCTCAGTTTTTCCAGTGAGTGCACACGCCCTATAGCAAAAATCTCTCTCTCTCTTTCAAAAAAAAAAAAAAAAAAAAAAAAGAAAGAAAAGAAAAAGAAAAAAGAAAGTAAAGAAAAGAGTAAAGTCAAATGCCCTGAAAGTTGCAAAACCATTTTAGGCCAATTTGAGTTTGCCTATTAGAAACCCGTTGCCTCTACAGCTACTGTAAACCCATATTTAACTTTGTGATAATGGTAATGGGGAAAAAAATGGAAAAAATAGCAATAAGGATGGCCCTTGATATGTTTGAGGGGATTTTAAAAAGCTTGTAGAAAAATGAAATTGCAGTATGAGTTTATATCGGCACAAAACAATTTGAAATCCATGCTGAAGTTTTTTTTTTTTTTTGTCATAATACATATTTTCTATGAACATTTTGAAGTCCTGCTGTAGATACTTAGAGGTTCTCATTTCTACAGAAGGTCCCAAAATAATTGGGTTGTCAGAAAAATCCTGGTGCATTTTTGTAAAGAAAAACAAAGAAAAATATGTCATGTCATAACTCTTCTGACAACTCCATATGTCAGATCTTTTTGTATTTCATAAGAAAGCCCAAGTTTTACAGAAGGGTGAGAAAAGGTAGACATGTAAGAGTGATCTGGGGTTGGCAGGTGGCGTGGTGGTTAAGGGCACTGGACTCCCATATGGCCGACCATGGTACGAGTCCTGGAGCTGGCGGCTTGGTTTCTCCCCCCGCCCCCATTCTGTCCTTCTCTGATCAAGTTAAAATATATATATAATAAATAAATATATGAATGAAGTTAAATAAAATAATAATTTTTTTTTAAAGTGACCTGCTGGGCCCAGCAGGTGACATGAAAGTTAAGGTGCTATATCCCACATGGCCAACTCTGTGGTTCGAGTCCCAAACCTGGTGTCTTGAAAATCAGCGTGCATATGCATGTGTGCTCAAGATACCTAGAATGGAGGAGACAGGATAGTGGTGTGGCCATCGCCGTGAAGGGTGATTTTTCACTCTCTCTCCCTCTCTCTCTCTTCCTGTCTTGCTCTCTGGCAAGTGTATGTGCCCTATAGCAAAAACTAAGGGGAAAAAAAAATGACCTGATCCTCCAAAAAACCAAAAATACAAAAAATAATAGCATGTGAGTACTCACGTCCTTGGGGGAAGATTCCTAAATTCTCTGTAGTTGTGATTTTAGAACCATCAGATATGGGGGGGTGGGTCCTGGGAGAACATTTGCTTTCTCTTTCTCCCTCTCTTTCTTTGTATATAGCTTTATTATTATTATTTTTTATTTATCTATTTTTGGAGAGGTTTTTGCTATAGGGTGCGTGTACTCGCCAGAAAGACAGGGAGAGACAGAAAGACAGAAATCGAGAAATCACCTCCCAGGGGGATGGCCACGCCACAATCTCTTCTCCTCCATTTTCCTCTCGGGATCTTGGGCACACACACACATGCTCCTGGAGTAAGTTTAAGCCACTAGATCCGGGACTTGAACTGCAGTTGGCTACATGGGAGTCCAGCGACATAGCCATTATGCCAACTGCTGATTCCTGTATACAGCTTTATTAAGGTGTGGTTGTTATATAATAATCCGCAATCTTGAAAGCACAGTCATTTCTCTGTCTCTGCATGTTTCACACCTGTAGAGTCAACCAGCTGTAGATCCAAAAATATCTAAAAATAAATAAATGAAATAAATAATAATACAACAATAAAAAGAATACAGATAAACAATATTAATAGCCATGGATATAAATTTACATTATATTAGGGATTTATAAGCATTCTAGAGATTTAAAGTATTCAGGAAGGGAGCCAGCATGTGGTATGGTGGTAAAGGTGCTGGACTCCCACATGACTGACTGTGGTTTGAGACCCAGATGTGGCAGCTTGCTTTCTCACTTTCCCCCACCTCTCTCTCTGGTGCAAATTAAAAAAATAAAGAAATAAATAATAAAAGAAATAAATAACTCTTTAAAAATGTATGCAGGAGGATATATGTAGAATTACTTTATTTAACGTTCTTTCTTTATTTTAATTTGACCAGAGAGGGACAGAGTAAATGAGAGAGAGAGAGAGTGAGTGAGAAACCAAGCCACCAGGTTGAAGACTTGAACTGCAGCCAGCCATGTGGGAGTCCATAGCCCTTAACCACCATGCCACCTGCCAGCCCCTACTTTTAGCATTTTTTTCAAAATTTGCTATAGGGCATGTGCACCCACCAGAGAGAGACACACAGAGAGAGAAAGTAAGCCACCAGGTCTGGGACTTGAACTGCTGTTGGCCATGTGGGAGTCCAGTGCCCTAACCACCACGCCACCTGCTGGCTCCTCTATGCAAATATTATACCATTTTCTATAAAGGAGTTGAAGGTCTGATTTTAGCATCCACGGGGCCCTGGGACCAGTATTCCACAGATACTGACAGTTGATGGAATGCAATGTAAGTTTGCCATTTGCATATACCCTGGAAACCACCCCAGGACGAATTGCAAATATACCTAACACCTGCCAAGTTTCTATTAACACATATTCTTCTAGGACCAGCAGGTGGTGTGGTGGTTAAGGCACTGGACTTCCACATGGCCTACGGTGGTTTGAGTCCTAGACCTGGTGGCTTGAAAATCATGCTGGGTGTGTGTGCATGCATGCCCAAAATCCTAAGAAGAAATTGGAGGAGAAGGGACTGAGGCAGGCCATCCCCCCTAGGGGTGATTTCATGTTTTCTGTCTCTCTGGCAAATGCATGTACCCTATAGCAAAAATCTCTCTCAAAACAAAACAAAACAAAACAAAACAAAACACTTCCCTGATGCTTACACTTAATGATCTATGTGTGTGAATGAG